GAAAACTATCGGCATTGATTTTTGCCGATAACCGATAGTTCCGCCAATCAACTATCGGTAGGGCTGGGTATCGATACCGATACCTTGACTTTCTTGGGTCTCTGAATATCCAGGTTGCCCTCCTCTATGGTGAGGGTGGAGATGCGCTTGTTATGAGCGGTGTTGAACTCAGTCAGGTTCTGTCAAAAGAGTCAAACAGGGAAAAAACAGAGCTGTTCATTCATCGCAACATCCATTCATTTCAATATATGTTCAAGCAAAAGTCTGAAAACACTTCACTGAATTTGTTTGTCATGATCTTGTAGAGGAACCTTCTACAATGCGAGTAAATCACTAGCATATGCGACTAAATTTCCATGCTAGGTGGCCAAATAATATCTATCGTTAATTAAAGGCTGAGTATAAGTTTAACACAGATATTTCACTTACCTTTACACATTTTAAACACCGTGCACTTGAGAGTTTCGCTCTGTCATTAAAGCGCACTATTTTAACTCATCTCAATTGATACGTAGCATATTTGAAGCACCGTAAACTCTAGTGTGAAGGCATGCAACTAGAAAGCGCTGTGTTTCTCTCACACAAGCAAAGAGAGGGAGAGCAAGACAGTCTTACTTACCACTACATGTAAATTATATTATTTGGTAGTGGGCGGAACTAATGCGAAACAGCAATCTCATTGGTTGGCGCTCACCTATTACCATCACTAGCCGGGTTTCCATCCAAAGTTGCGAATTTAACTTGTGCGCAAAACTGGAATATCGCATAAAACATTTGCGAACAAGCATCGTTTCCATCCAACAAGTCAAAGAGAACAAAATCGTCACTTCCTGATAAACTGGCACTATAAATCACTAAGTAAAGTAGGAGAATATAATGATTTTCATATATAATAAATTACTTGCGCCTCAGAGCGAGCAGACGAAACAATGAATGCGGTCATTGCTTTCGGAGGTGGATGCTGCTGTTTGGGAATGCAGTCGTGGAAGACATTTCTGGCAGGCAATTATACAGAAATACTTTTTGACGACAGACTTTGCTCGTGCATTTCCGAATGACCATAACAACATTTCAGATGCTGTGGAATGAGATCGGTCCGCTGGCTAGTCAGGTTTTGCCGTCTCATAGCCAAAGTCACATGACTTTTTTGATGCGCTTGGAGGAATTTATTCTCAAAATGCATTTCCATCTCCCATTATTCGCATCAAAAGTCAAAAACCACCTCAAGCGAGCGTAAAATCTTTTTTTGCGAATTAAGGGATTTTTATTAGAAATGTGGCGTTTCCATCACTCATTTCTCATGCGATACTTCAAAATGCGCATTAAAATAGGGTGATGGAAACATAGCTGCTGTTTCGATTTCAGCCAATCAGTTGAAGCGACGTGATTAATATTCATGAACCCAGCAGCTCATCAGATCTTAGTGCGTTTTATATGGTTATTAGTAGTAGAATTATTATTATTATTATTATTATATTTTCGGTATTATTGTTAGTTTTTTTTTTACAGAAAAACTGAATGACCAACAATGTATCAAGCACCACCACCAGTCCTAAAATCTGTTAAAATGACAAATATGCATTCATACATTTTCATTCATACATGCTTATGTTAATTACTTAAGTTCTACCATAAAAATGCTTGATTGACTGATGTTAAAAGTATAGGCTATATAGTAGAGCAGACATGTACCTCCAGTTCAGTCTCTTCCTCTGGAAGTCCCAGAAGACCCTTCAGCTCCTCGTCGTCACCGGTTTTACTGTCCCCGACGCCGGAGCCCGGCTGACTCTGAGGTTTCTCCCGAATGGTGTAAACACGTGTGGATGCGCCAAACGACATGGTGGAGTCGATGGGAACCTGCTGGGGCTTGTGGGGCTCCAGGCGAATGTGTCCCAGGAACGTACCATGTGCTACAGGAAGACAACATACCTGCTGGTTTACTTGTCTGTTATCTGTATGGCATGGCACGTTTGTCATTGGTCTGATGCACTTACTGCTGTTGAGGTCGATGAGAAACACTCTTTTCAAATGCCTGTGGTAGACGAGGGCCGCATGCACGCGAGAACACGACTGATGGTCGATGGTGAAGTCACAGATGTCTGGGTTCCTCCCGAACAAATAATACTTCTTTTCATCAATGATCAGTTTCTGCAGAGAGAGCATCTCAGTAGGCTGTCTGCAGTCAACAAAACTACTTTAACAACACACACACAATCACATACAAGCGGGGCGTTGTGAGCGTACAGAAAATGGGATAGTAGAAATAAGTTGATGATTTAATAATCTTATCTTTTAGGGTTGCATCCAAGGAAAGGAAAAATAACTTGATCCAATTCTATTTGGCGTGAGCCTGAGCCTACTGATGAAAACACTTGTATTTTGCATTTTCCCCCCCATTTATTTACATTCAGTTTGTCACACATAAATAGTGCAGAAATTATTTGAATAGTCTAAAATCTGAAGCAAAATTATAGCAAGATATTACAGGATTTTTTTTTTTTTTTTACTGTACAATAGAGAATTTTGTGTGTGTGTATATATATATATATATATATATATATATATATATTTTTTTTATCCTAGTTATGGTCACCAACTTTGTACAGAAAAGAGTTGCATTAAGATTCCTTAAAAAGTCTATGGAAAACAATAATAACATACAGGTTTGGAACAACACGAGGGCGGAGTACATGGATTAGTTTAAAAAAAATCTGCGATGGTTAGTTTCTTATTAACAGTCAAATGATTAACTAGCATTCTTAAGACTCGATGAAATACCTCGACAAGCTTGTCTCCTTTCACCACGTCCAGATGCAGTCCTGCTGGAGGCTTCCCTGCCCTGAAACCAGACCAAGCCATGAACATCTCCCTCCTCAAACCAGCCAGTGTGGCAAATATGGCCATAAACAAAGCACACGGCATCTGAGATGCTCTGTTACAAGATTTACTTTTAATAACCAAATTACTTTGATTAATTAAACGCAAGATACACTTCTACACAACGAATGCAGTTTGTAAAACAGGTTCGAGCTGCACAGTGTGACGGAAGATCTGCTAAAGAGCACGAGAGCTAACAGCTCGCTGTAAGATTGCGGTTTTTATGCTGGACACGATAAAGACTTATTCATGCACTAAATCCAGCAATTACAGGAGTGTTTTTTTACCATGATGGACAGTCGAAAGATGGGTTCGTCGCTGTAGTATTTGCTTCCATTGTCACACATTCTCCCCGGCTACAGACACGCCGAGCATCTTGGGTAATCTACTCAAAACTGAACGTCTTCCGGCTCATGAATATTAAAGACGAACCGCGACGCTCTTTTAGAACTCGTGATTGATTGGCTTAAAAGCAGACGTGAGTAAGTGGGCGTCACTCAACTGGCGAATTAGCGAATCTCTCGGTGGTGAATGACGGACGCGAGGGAACGCCCCTTTAGGAAGATTAACCAATAGCAGTATTGCTCAATTAATATTCATGAGCTTTGCCTTTGCCATAAAAGGATTGGGATCTTCGCCTTCCGGGAGACGCTTGTAAAGGCAGGATGACAACACAAGTTAAACCGCATAAACATGAATTATTAACGCAGTTATTGTATGTTGAAACAAAAAGTACATGTATAATAATTGACATTAAATTGAAATGTATCTATTTCAATGAATGCAACTAAAGGCTTGTGTGCAGTGTTTGTGGTTCTGGGTGAGTCCCTCTGAGACTTCCTCTCTGAGTCTGGACTCTAGTTAAAGTGCGCGCAGACTGAAGAGCAGCTCAGTGTGAGTCTGTCTGTCAGCGGTGAGAGATGGGAGACCTCCAGTCTCTGCGAGTCTTCATCAGCTGTCTGGATCAACAGTCTCTACCCCGCATCCTGCAGGTCTGCTCTGGGGTTTATTTCCAGGGTAGGTTCAGCTCTCTTTCTGCATATTCTGCATGACACTTTCTCCAGGCATAAAAAAGAAGCAATACTGTTCTTCACCCAAAATGTATTCATTATTTATTTGGTCCTTAGCCATCTTCAAAAAACTACTAAAAACACATCTGTTCCATCTTTATTTGAGCCTCTAACTCTAGCACTTTCTATTCTACTTTATCTATTTATCTTCTTTTTTATTTAAAAAAACATTAGCTTTCTATTTTTTCTATTCTACTTGTTTTTCTCTCTCTGTGTGTGTGTGTGTATATATATATTTATATATAATACCTTGCTACGTGTACTGTGTTAGGCTAACCGTGACTTGTCATTTGCACTTATATATTGTTGCTCTTTTGTTTGATTTTATTGCTTTTATTGTCCTCATTTGTAAGTCGCTTTGGATAAAAGCGACTGCTAAATGACTAAATGTAAATATTTATTGTGTTCCCCTATGTCCATAAATTTATTTTGCATTGTGATTAATAATTCTTCCAGTTTTATGAATCTTTTAACCATCATCATTTTTGTAAAATAAGAAACAAGGATGTTCTCTAAATGCTATGCTGTGTTGAGATTGACTTTAGTGCCAGAGACTTTGATGATGTACAATGATGTAAAAATAATGATAATTTTGAAATTAAACTCATTAGTTCTTTTAATAATCATTTGTCAAATATTACGGCAACCCCTCTGTAGTAAATAGGCATGCATTTTGTTTTTTTAGAAATCTGACTTGCCCAGTATAATGTTTCTGTTTAGGGTAAATTTAACCTATTTTTACATTTGAAAACACAGAGTGAAAAATAGAAACAGACGATGTGCATCTGAAACCTGTCATGTTTTATGGCTGGGATCTCTGAAACCCCAAACCGAATTAATGCAACATTTGCTAAGCGTGCCACCGAGCAAGTTAAAATGTCATACTTCACCATAAACTGTTTTTGTGTTATTGAAATGGCTGCGGGGTCTCTCCGACCCCAAACAGGACATGAGGTTTAAATTTGTTTTTTTTCATTGTCTTTGTGGTTTACGCTGTGCATCCTCAGCACAAGTAGATGTGTGACCGGATGAACAGTTGAGTTTAGTCTCATCTGTAGTTTGTGTTTCTTATAAAGGGTGATCTCAAATCAAATGTAAACATAAGTAGTTCACTGCTATTTATACATCAGGATATGCTTCTTATACAGCATTATAGGCTTATTTATCTGTCGAATGTGCTTTTACATGCATAAAACTGTAAAAGTCTGTGTACTTTAAATCAGTGGTTGTCAGGAGTCAGATTTTACATTTAATGTCAAATGGTGATCCCAGCACTGTATCACAGTTGTTTGTAATACATAAATAACAAAAATGTATTAAAATTTGGTTTTGAGGATAAGTATTTGCACCACAATACTACTATATAAGGAATGTGTTTTTACCGTTTATTTTCCTATACACTTTCCCCATGCTGAACAGAACAGACTTGCAACCCAACCCAAGTTGAGAACCACTGTTTTAAATAAAGAGGATGTTATCAATTTGATTGAAGTACAGTATTGAAGTCAAATAAAACAAAGGCCTCTAAAAAAACTATAATCAGTACGATGCATCATCACAAAGGAATGTCTATTTAATCCATACTCTCACAGTTCTGGCAGAGATAAGATAAGAAATGCAGAGATAAGTCCTATGGCATGTTGGACTTTGCAATCAAAGTCCATTTTAACAATTTATATTAATCAACTCGTATTAAAATGAACCCATACGGTTATGCAAATAGGACATGATGGGGTTTTTTTTTCTTTCAGGGTCCATTTATGAGCTTTCAGGAAGTGAAGTGTGTTTATCTACTGGAGATTTGGTGAAGATCATTGGTTTAGAGCTCCTGTCTGTATCTTGTGAGGAGATTGAAACTGGAGCTTCATTTGAATTGCCTACTGGATATTCAGGTGAGCCGCTAAACAACAGCAAGATGTTTACAAGTAAAATATTATAAACTAGAGCCGAGTATTTTGGCCTAGTGAAACCTCTTCGTGTATAGATTTTGTTACCATTGCCATGCATTATACGACTGATAGACTGCAACGGCTGGAGTTAAAAATCATCATATGTGTTCTACTGAAGAAACAAAGTCACCTACATCTTGGATGCCCTGGGGGTAAGCAGATAAACATCACATTTTCATTTTTGGGTGAACTATCCCTTTAAGAACTTGAGCTGTCAAGGTGGCTGTTGTTCAGGGAAATTAATTTGTAAACCAAAAGCTAACTGGGCAAGTTTGTCGATTTTAACACACTGTGCATCTCTCTAGGTTACTTCAGACTCGTCGCTGAGGACCTACCGTACAATACAATAGAGGAAATTGTGGGTTTGTGTCCTGTTGGAGTGGACGCCTGCGGCTCCTTCACCTTCATAAGCCAAAACGAGCTGACTATAGACAACTTCACACTACCTGCAGGAAAACAGTTGATCCTGCTGTCAGTGGAGGGTGCCAAAAATGGAGAAAGACTGGCACGGTGTCAAGTGGTGGGGCAGAACATGGCCTCTACAGAGATACTCCTTCCTCTGTCCCTCAGAGGAGAGTTTTATGAGTGTCAAGGTGACCGAGGTTACTCTCTAGAGGAAATCATGGCATCATCCAGGCTGAGTTGCCGTCGCTTCCGCAATACAAATGAGAAGAACAGTGGAAGCTTGTTGGTTTTCAGCCCAGTGTATGAAATTAGTGCCATTATGCAAAGTAAGTATAACAGTGTTACTTGGTAAATATTTGTCAAGTCCTTTTCCCACCGACAGGTTGCTGGTGCCAAAGCCAGATCCATAATTGTCCAGTGCATGGAGTGCTGCAGTGATATATTTTTTTAGGCTAGCCCAAAAGTTAGCATCACCCCGGTTCCTTTGACAAAAACCCAATTGGATGTGTTCATTGGCTTTTGGATTATTTCTGAAAACAAGCCGTGTCCAACCTCTGTAGTCCCATTGAGCAACTTGTGACTAACCGCCATTTTCAAGACAAGTACAATGTTGTAGAATAAAACATGAAAATATCCTGAGCTTGTGTGAACCACATACCTTATTTCAGTCATTTAACCAAAAAAAACCCCCACTGATTTCAGAACAAGGGAACCCAGAAGTGCTAAAATTAGTGCCATTATGCAAAGTAAGTATAACAGTGTTACTTGGTAAATATTTGTCAAGTCCTTTTCCCACCGACAGGTTGCTGGTGCCAAAGCCAGATCCATAATTGTCCAGTGCATGGAGTGCTGCAGTGATGATATATTTTTTTAGGCTAGCCCAAAAGTTAGCATCACCCCGGTTCCTTTGACAAAAACCCAATTGGATGTGTTCATTGGCTTTTGGATTATTTCTGAAAACAAGCCGTGTCCAACCTCTGTAGTCCCATTGAGCAACTTGTGACTAACCGCCATTTTCAAGGCAAGTAAAATGTTGTAGAATAAAACATGAAAATATCCTGACTATAAAATAGAAATAGAGACATAATTAGCGTAGCTGCTGTTCCAACCAAGCAAAATTGATTTGTTTAAC